CCCTTCCTCTCTGAAATCAATAAAAAAAAAATATATTAAAAACAGTCAAAATATTAAGGGTAATAAGTAGTTCTGTAGTATTGTAGGAATAATTTTTAAATGTATAGCAGAATTAGTAATACAGAATTTTTATGGCACCTGCATTAATATTTTTGCCACAGTAAATATCTACTGTTTTAATTTAATTTGCTCTCACATAAATATTGTAATTAAGTAGAATAACTATATTTTTATATTAAAGTTTCTTAAAATCCCTCCCCTCCCCCCAAAAAAACACTGAGGCTTAAAACAAAGTCAAGCATAAGTTCTGAAAAATGAGTTTTAGTATCTTAGTGTGGAAACATGTATATGATCTCACTATGTCTTTGACTTAGATGGCAATCTTCTATTCATAGGCTTTGTGACTAATTATCACTGGGCTACATATTCACTTTTTTTTTTAAGCTCTACATTGACAAACAATTTGTTTCATTATATAATCATATGGGATAGACTTCTCTACTTAAAAAGTGACAGCGTTAGTATAAATTTTTGAAAGTGAAGGAACTAACATTTAGCACTTTTATACAGGTGCAATAATAATTCTCAATGTAGACTTGTAAGGGCTCTCCTAAGAGCATGCCCCTCCCTTTTCCTTTCCCTTCCCCCACCTCCTCCCTGCCCCAGGCACCACACCATTAGCCTCCTCATTCCCAAGCTCCAAGGGCCCTTCCTTTACCTCCATAACTTGCAAATAAATGTCCTTACAGAAAAAAAAGTAGACTTGTAAGTAAGAAGTTGACAATATCTTCATCTAAGAGCTGAATAGTTTTAGAGAGTTTAGGTCATTTATCCAAAAATGTACAATTAGAGGTATTGGAAGGGATTTTAAAAGAAAAATAGTTCCTTGCAGTGGGGTAAAATCCTCAAGTATGGGGAAGGGGCAGGTAAGGTAAATAACCACAGCAAGGGAGGGTGTAATAAGAATAGAATAAGATTAGTTGGGTCTGTGGCAAACTGGAGTGAAAAGTATTTTTCTATAATCCTATAGAATAAAAGGCTAATATGCAAATCAACCAAATGGCAGAATGACCGGTTGGCAGACACTCAACACAGGAGCTGCCCCCTGGTGGTCAGTGCGCTCAGCCAGAAGCCGGGCTCACGACTGGCCTGTGCAGTGGTGTGGAGGGAACTTTTCCTGCCTCCACAGCAGCACTAAGGATGTCCGACTGATGACTTAGGCCTGCTCCCCCAAGGGCTCCCAGACTGCAAGAGGGCTCAGGACAGGCTGGACCCCCCCCCCCCCCCCCCAGTGCACGAATTTCATGCACTGGGCCTCTGATACATTCTATACTACATCATCTGTATATTGTATTGTGTGTTCATTGCCCCAAGTCAAGTTTCCTTACATCAACACATCCCGCTTCCTCCTTCCCCTTCACCCTCTCTCACCTTCCCCTGACCTTGGAGTGAAAAGCACTTGTTAAAAGGGGCAATCACTTTATCTGTGTTTTCCATGTTAGAATTCTTATTTTTCAAAATCAACTGGAAATTTGGATTTTTGTATGAAATCTCTGGCTTTTAAATGTTGGTAGAATTTTACTTTTAACACTATAGGGCCAAACCAAACAGCCTCTGATTAGATTAGGAAGGGCACCAATTATATTTCTTCATATAGCTAGATGTTTGAGGACTGCATGCAGAAACAGTGGTATTTTAAATAATATGCACAGTACACATTAAGAGAGGAATAAGCTTAGTGCTTCCCAGGTTTGTTTTGACAGGGGCAGAGGGAGGACCTCTATTGTAAGGGAGAGATGGTGCCTTCAACACCCTCGTTCCAGCCTGTAAACTCATGTGGAAGATGGCCTTTTCTCAGGTGGGCTGGGTCAGGTTTTTTAATACAAAGTCCAGTATTTCTAGGTATATCCCCAAACCCACCCAGGGTTTCTTCTTACCACCATAAGTAAATATTTGAGGCAAAGCGCTAAGTAGAAGTGCGCTTCCCAAACTTCATTTGTTTGCAATTATTGTTGGCAAGGCGCTAGTTCTTAGTATAGCGAGCAAATTTCTAGGAAGGAACTCACGGGAAAATTGCTGAGAATTCCTGCTCTACCCCTGGATTCACTGTCAAGGGAAACCGTTCCGCGTTCTTCGGTAACTAATGGCAACTCTGGGCTCCGGATGTGACGTCAGCGTTCTTCGGCTTCCGCCCACCGTCGGAACTCCGAGCTCTGGTTGTTGTGGACGTGGAAGTAGCCGGCGCATGCGCAGTGCGCCCCGTCGTCTGCGGTGGGAAGGGCTGGGGGTAGCCCGCGGCTC